GTAAACACCGGGGGGGGGGATCATGGGGGGGGGAGTATTGTTCCATGATCCTAGTCGCAGGTGGTTTGTTTTGGTTTTGATGTTTCGGGATGAATGATGCAGCAGGGGGGCTGTTGGATTGATTGTTGATTGATTTTTTTACTTCATGTTCAGGATAGAATGGATGTTACAGCAGGGGGGCTGGTGGAGTGGTTTCTTTGTCAAGGTATTGGTTGTCAGAGAGAGGGTTTGCACACAGGAGGGGGTGAACACCCGAGCTTTTTTCTCCTTTGTTGTTTCTTTTCATGCGCCACCTTCCTCCTGCGGTGCGTGCTTAATTTTATTTTTACCTGAATTGAAGGGTCCAGCCGTCCCCTTCCCTCGTCAACGAACGGTGCTAACGTCGAACTTTGGTACTCACGAGAGCTTTGTAGCTATATTTCGCTTTCACCCGCAAGTTTCGTAAGTTTTTCACCCCATGGGGATTCGACCTCACGGCCTCTGCGACTAGCGGATTACGAGGATACCACTAGACCACCGGGGCGACCGGTGGTGTGTGGTGTATGGATGCCGTCGATCGAGAGGTCTCCGCACACGTACGTAAGTACTGTATCGATCGGCTTTGCTTGGAACCCTGTGTGTTGACTTCTTTTTCTTCGCAGGTACTGGTCTACATGTATGATACAGCAGTTACTTAGGTGTCTTACTATTGTAACCAAACGGGCCGCGTTGATTGGTTGGTGAGAGTAGTCTAGAGCCGATCTCAGTACTTTTTTGGTTTACATGTCGAGCAAGTCACAAAGCAGCAGCGTCCCCAAGGGAACGCTTTGTCTTGGTCGAACTGTCCCATAGTTTCGAACAGAGTAGTGTGCGTCGTCCAAGTTTCCGAAGCGGCATCGTTGTTCCACATGTACTTGAAAACTGACGTTGGTTGGTTACGTTTGCGCAATTTATTTTTGTTGTGGTGACGGGGAGCCATCGTGTAATTTCCGTCGCAGACAGAAGTAAATCTTCGCAACAGAACACGAGGTTTGATGTTGGACAAATTTTCAAATTTTGAAAACAAACGCAAGAGCACCAGAAATGGCACACGAAGGAAACAAAACCAGTCGCAAGGCATCGCGAAAAAAAGCAGAAATCGTCGATTCTCGCATAGGACGGCAGCAGTAGAGGCTTCTCAAAACATTCATAGACTACATTTCACGCGTCCAGACGCAATACCTCCACATGCCTCCTTTGAAATCAAGATACAAATTTACTGTTGTAAATTCGAGTCAAAAGGGCCAAAGCGGGAGGCGCTCAAGAAGCTCTGGGTTGCTACGAGCCTGGTGCAGTACTTATATCACTAGACTAGAGGACATCCTATTATTATAGCAGCGGAGGGTACGGGTTAGCGCGCTCAAATCTGCTCTTCTTCTGTGGTGGTGATATCGAGGGTCGTACTGCGTTGGTAGCGGTCTACATACAATCTCCGCAAACCTCCGCGAATTAGACCAACACCCAGTGTCTTGTACTGCTTGTGCTCGCCGCCACGGACCCCAGTCTCGGGTTTACAGCAGTAGCTGATGCCTCCGTTCAGGGGTTTACGGTCCGTGGCGGTGAGCACGGCTGTGACACATAAATGTTGGATGCCGCTTGGTTCCGGCGACGATTTCGGACTGTTCTCAGAGGCTACCGCTACCTTCGATATGGATTCAAGTGTAAAAAAAAGAGCTATAATAGCGTCAAAACCCCTTTCCTGCCCCCCTTTACAGTGCCGGCTCACTCATAAGAATCACCTATTTTCAGCTGAGGCTCAAATCTTATTGCCGCAGCCATAGTGAGCTGAATTTCTTAGTCGGCAATTCCTATTTTTCCCCGACGAGAAATGCACGATTTCTCATGTTCGCCATTTCCTATCTTTTCGCCACCATGCAAATTGCACGATTTCTTATCATCCCTATTTCCTTTTCCAGCCACGAAGCTTTGCACTACCCGCGGGGTACACGCTTGCACGACACCCGGCGGTACTGAACTGAAAGGAGCGTGGGCGTTGATCGAGCCGATAGACGATTCGAATGAGCCGGCGGGGGGGAGTGCTAATGTGCGTGCGGACATAATACTCCATATATCCCTAACGCCCTTCGAAATCGATTGGTGAAGTTGTCACAACTTGGCATGCGCTATCCCGGTTGGTCAATGTTGCGAACGTTGGGTGTTCGCGCCCTACTGCCCTGCCGGCGTGGCTGTTCACTCTCACACACCCCCGCCGTCTCATTCGAATCGTCGATCGGCTCGACCAACGCCCACGCTCCTACGGCTGCGTTCGCCTCGTCTACATCGTATGCATCTAGAGGCATCTTCACACTGATGGTGCTTTGATCGTACGCCAAAACCACGCGGTAGTCGTACGTGTGGCTAGTTTGCGGGGGCGCTGCCCGGCTGATCTGCCCCAAGAACCACCCCATACCACGCCTCAAGAACACGCAACGCTTAATCAATGCGCTATCCAGCTTTTCTGGGGGAGACACTTGAAGACGGAATCCGACCGGAAGCTCCATCGTGATGATGTCATCGTCGGAGTAGACGTCATCGTCGCTGTCTAGCTGTGACAGGGGGTCTTAAAAATCGCCGTGGCCATCACCTCGCAAATGAAGCGATGTGAAAAAAATTGTCGAGAAAAAGCCGGCGTGAGACACGCGCGTTTGAACAAATTCACAGCCCCCCACCAGTGCATGCAAAACGAGGGGCAAAGGCGAAATACAAACCGGACCTAGACTCGAAAACTTACCATCGTCATGTGCGCTTGCGTCGCTGTCGCAGCTTGATTCGCCGCCGCCCGCCCCCCCATCGTCGTCGCCGACCTCTTCATCCTGGTCGGGCATCTCCTCGTCACTGCTCGTGCCCCCGTCCATGAAGTTGTACGCCCCAACTACACCCTCCGGAGTGACGCGGTCGTCCAACGACCCGTCTGCCGTCATCGCCAGTCCGGTCTTCTCGAACAGGCCATGGCGGTACCCAGGCCGAGCGTCCATTTGCGCGACCGCCCTTGCAATGAATCGCGTGAAAAGGATTCGCCTTGCACCAGCTGAAAGCTTGATGGTCTCCCACAGGCAAAGGTTTTCCTCGTGCCCAAGAAATTCATCCAGTTCGTTACCGACTTCGACTTTGAGGAGGTGTCCATAGCCGGCATCGACCGGTTGGAGTTCGTCGGTCAACTTGGGGGGAAGAAGCCGCAGCAGCGTGTTGCACTCGCCGTGAAGGAGTTTCTTGAACTCGTCCGTTGTCTGCGCGTGCAGGTTGTCCGCGAAAAGGATGGACTGCTCCTCTGGAACGACACCTTCCTCCCCCTTGATGCTGCGTAGGAAGCTGTTTTTTGCCCACGCCATGCACGTTGGGTCGTCCATCCACGCGTTCTCCTGGAAGAGCACGTCCACGCCGGGGTCGTACGCCGCCTTCTCCACCGCTGAGACTTTGCCGTTGCCGCGGAAAATAACCGCGGTCCGCCTCAACTTGTCGCCAGCTCCGATGCTTCAGTTGACGGTGCACTGTCGCTTCTCAAGACCAGGGAACGGCTGCCCAATTTGCACTCGCAAAGCTCCCGTCTCGTCCCATGTCGAGTCGAGGCCGTTGACGAATGCGAGCCCAACCTGNGCCAGCTCCGATGCAACAGTTGACGGTGCACTGTCGCTTCTCAAGACCAGGGAATGGCTGCCCAATTTGCACTCGCAAAGCTCCCGTCTCGTCCCATGTCGAGTCGAGGCCGTTGACAAATGCGAGCCCAACCTGGTCGACGTTGAAACGCGTATTCAGGCTGAAGCGCCCGTAGTGGGGCGATTCCACAGGAACGATCGCAGCGCCGTTGTTCTCGGCGGCGCACCCAGCAGCGGCCCGGCGAACGGGTGGTTCCTGCAGCAGCTGGCGCAGCCTCCTGTGGAAGCTCTTCATCTGCGGAAGACGGTCCTCCACCGACTTGTTCTTCATGTTTGTGCGCCTTCGTTTCGAGAGATGGTGGCGCTTCGCGAACTTCCTGCACCACCGGTCCGACGCTGAAAAGTTCTTTGCACGCGGGTCGTCCGGATACATTTCCACGACAAGCTTTCTCGCGTTGACTCGAATCCAGGCTGTCGNGGCGCCTTCGTTTCGGAAGATGGTGGCGCTTCGCGAACTTCCTGCACCACCGGTCCGACGCTGAAAAGTTCTTTGCACGCGGGTCGTCCGGATACATTTCCACCACGAGCTTTCTCGCGTTGACTCGAATCCAGGCTGTCGACACTCTGAGCTTTCTGTTGCGCCGTTGCAGCAGCAGCAAGTGCAGCTTCTTTCTGCGTCTCCGAACCACCTCCTCTCCCTGCCAGTCTTGAAAAGGTATTTCTTCAAGTCATTGGCCGCGGCTGCGATTAGCTTCTCTGCGTCACCTTTCCACTTGCAGATGTTGGGTTGGGGAATGCCGGTCTTCCTTGCCAGGAACTGCTGCCACGACACGCCGTGAACATGCCAGATCTTTTCGGCGTGATCGGCCTCCAGCTCTCGCAGCTCCGCGACCACCGCAGCCTTCTTCCTGTTGCTGTACTGCGTCCTCTTCTCAGCCCCTCGTGTTTTCTTCCGCTTGGTGCGTTCTTCGTCCGACCAAAGGCAAGTCTGATGTACCACCGCCTTGGATCCTTGGTTGCAGCTCAAACGAACAGCTCCCTCGCACGTGGTACATTTTCTGGCGGCCGCAGTGGTGTGCCCGACATTAAAACACCTGCCCGAGTACCCGTGCCAAGGAAGAGTCGTCATGGTCCCACCCGTCGTGAGGGCGCGCCTGAGCCCTCGTCCAAGATGCCGAAGAGGAGCTGGGTGCACGGCACTACAGTGTAGCGATCGACATTGTTCGGAGGCAACGGTCTTCGGGCAGTACAGCCACTTCAACTTGGGAGGAGGTGGTGCGATGGGATAGTGGACGCGGGTGACTTCCTCCACGATGCCATTGCGGGTACGCTTGATCTGCGAGAAAATAGCAGCAAAGCGAGGCCCGAGGTACGGGGATTTTAGAGTGCAGCAAAAAATGTTTGTCGATTGTCCCTCCCAGTAATTTACAACAGACATTTTCAACGGCAGCGACGCGTGACTGGCACGCTTCGACAACAGCTGCAAGTGTCGCTGAAAAGAAAATTTGAAAAAAACACGAGAGTAAAACAACGGGCTGTGCCAGTATTCAAAACCGCGCCCTCGAACTCGATGGTGAACCAAAAGAATCCCCCGCAAAACATTTCGTGTTTTGGTTGCTGTGGCGGCCAGATTGGCACACTTCGACACCAGCTGCACGTGTTGCAGAAAAAAAAGTTGACAAAAAACACGAGAGTAAAAAAAAGAGGGCACTGCCAGGATCCGAAACAGCGTCCGCAAACTCGATGGTGAACCAAAAGAGTCCTCCGCAGAATATTTTCGTGCTAGATATTCTCTGCAGACGAGCAATGCGGGCGAGGGAGACGAAACAGGTGATGCCCCGGACAAACACATGTCATTCACGAACATGGCCAAAGGATGCAAACGGAATCTCCAACCAACTCACCGGCTCGTTTGTTGATGCGGCCCAGCAGTTGACGATGTTCCCGTGCATCGTGTTCGCCGCCGCACTCGCTTCCTTGGCGGTGCGCATGCCCTTTTTCTGTGCGGGCCTAGGAGTCTCCACCACCTGCGACCTACCAACCCCTGCTTCTCCGCCCGCCGCTGCCGACCGTGGTGCTCCGTCTCGCAAAAGGTCTGCAACTTTTGCATCTAGCTGCTCTCGGAAGTCTTCCGCCGTAAACATGCCGCTGGACAGCAAGTTGGCCATGCACTCCACATTACATACGACCAGAACTTGTCGTCGATGGGTTGTTGGCCATCACGTGCTCCTTGATGGAATCTTTGTGGCTGCTCTCCTTGATGAAGCCGGCATCAACAAACTTCGACAACCTCTCGAGGTTGCCGATGGATGCGTCTGAAAGCGGCATTGCCTTCCTTGTGCATGAAGAACACGAGTTTTTTTGTGAGCGGTGGCGGCGCTTCTGGGGGGTCCGCCGACGCGGTCTCAAGGAGATCATACCCTCCTGCGGCGGAAGAAGGCCCACGCCCATTGTATGCGCGTGGACGCCGTTTCTTATTTCCTGCGGACAACCTTGGATCATCTGTTTGTTATGTCTAGGAAGTCGAAATTGTGCTTTTCCTTATCAGTCCGTTTCTTATCACTCTCCGTCAAAGTAGCTCAATTTCTTAGGCGCTTTTTCTTAAGCAACCCAAAAATCTGAGCCTCGGTTTCTCACGAGGGTGTTTCTTACTATTTAGTGGGCCTGCACTGTGATGTACGGTTCTAACCGCGGTGGGCTTGGATGCTGGTGGACGAACAAACCGGTATTTCAAGCTGCTGTTTATTGCTGAGACTCGACACAACACCACATTATATTACCACTCACCACTACTACTACTACTGTTGTTGGTTTCCCTCAAAGGAAACAGGCGGCGAGCCTCGCACAAAAGTGGGAACCTGTTGTTGTTCGTTGTTGTGTTGTCGGGGTGTGAAATATAGACTACAGTTAGTGATGGAGAGATACATCGTCTGCGAGCTCTACATACTACTGCACCACCTTTCGATTATTTTTTTTGGATGGAAGTAATACGTATGAAATAAGACTACTGTACATGTGGAGACCACCTTCATCAAGGTTGAAACTCCCCAACGTCTGTCGAGGACGAAACCCTCTTTTCCACAATGGCGTCGACGAAGAGATGGGAGCGTGTCTGCTTTGGTCGCAAAAGACACGGGTTCAAAACCCACTGCTCACCCAATTTTCTGCCGGAGTACGGGAAAAAAAGAAAAACGGTGGGTGGGCCAAGAAACGATGCACTGTCTATCGAACTCGAAACTTCTGGCAATGCGTGGCGGAAGTGGCGCACCCGCACACACGCGCAGAAGATTGTTGGTTCTACTCGCCGCCAGCCGGTCGGGTTCCGGTTACCCCAAGAAGACTNGGAGCGTGTCTGCTTTGGTCGCAAAAGACACGGGTTCAAAACCCACTGCTCACCCAATTTTCTGCCGGAGTACGGGAAAAAAAGAAAAACGGTGGGTGGGCCAAGAAACGATGCACTGTCTATCGAACTCGAAACTTCTGGCAATGCGTGGCGGAAGTGGCGCACCCGCACACACGCGCAGAAGATTGTTGGTTCTACTCGCCGCCAGCCGGTCGGGTTCCGGTTACCCCAAGAAGACTTCTCTTGCCTAGCAAACAAGAAGAAGCCTCGAAAAAGGGGGGGGTAATGTGGAGATCACCTTCATAAAGGTTGAAACTCCCCAACGTCTGTCGAGGACGAAACCCTCTTTTCCAAATACATGTACATTTTGGCTACTCGTGACTTGGACGACCGCCACACGTTATCTTGTCGGATTGTAACGCCGGAAGATGAGAAGGAAGATCATGCAGCGCATTCAGAGGGATGCGAGTTCTACTCCATCCGCTTCGCCCGCTACAATACCACCTGCCGATACTTCGCCCGCCAGTGGGTCTCTGTCTGCTACGGCTCCCAGTTCATCTTAATCATTGGAATCTTCCTCTGCCAATACGTCGCCCTCCGCTAGATCGTCTCCCAGGAATCTTCGTCTGTCGATACGTCGCCCTCCGCTAGATCGTCTCCCAGTAGGCCTTCGTCATCATCATCATCGTCATCATCATCATCAACATCCCCTTCTTCTTCCGATTCAAGGCAAGGGTCAAACGGTTCGTTTGTCTTTCGAGACTAGCACGGAACCGCTTCCTCGTCTCCGAGGTCTCCGACGACTAGTTCTTATTGTGTACGATCCACCTCCGGCCGTCAAGCATCAACGGAGCCTCTCACCCAAACCCTGGCACCTCCACCTCCCACGGTTGCCTCGACGTCCACCGTCTTCCCGGGCATGTGGGTCGAGTGGGGTGGATTTGAGTGTGGAATTGACTGGTGCGGGGGCAGGTCTAACCCCGGTGCATTGGAGTGCTCGGGGTGCAACCAAAGTCTTCGAAAGGGTTGGGCGTTCGGGTGAGGTGAATGAGAAAGGGGGGTCTACAGCACAGGACTCACGCTTAACCAACCCGTCTCCTGAGTTTAACGTTATGGTGCGTCAAGACAATACACGTCTGCTGCTTTGTGCTATGTACTCTGTGTGTGGATCATGTAAACCATTCGCTTCGCTTTCTTTGTGTTGGAGTTAGAGGCGCAGAAGTCGGATGGAACGATTGTCGGCAACACCGCCATGATAATCGTGGTTGGCGAAACAAGGAGGCGGCGGCCTTGAGCACTAAAGAAAAATATTTACATCATTTTCAGCAAGAAGAACATTCTGTAACTTCGCGTCGAAGCACTGCTGTGTTACCTTTGATTCACGGGGATCATTTCACCGGCTAGCTGTTTCTCGAGGAACCTTTTAAACACAGAAGTACAAGAGTTGCCGACATCTTCCCGCTTTGACAGTGCTGATATGTAAACAATTCGTTTTGTTGCGTTCGTTTTTCCACGCAATATCAGCACGGGAAGGGACAGCGTGACCGACATTAAGCTACTGGACGAGGTCACTTTCTGTGGCCACAACGCGTTCACCTACACGGGCTTCATCGTGGCTCTGAATGGCCAACTGAGATTTTTCCCGGTGGCTCTGCGCTCGTCAAGCACTTCGATGCCCTGTACAACGGAGACAGGTGAGGACCGGACGTTCCATCCCGCTTGGTTACTGTTGACGCAACAGAACTGTCACTGCAGTCGCTGTACAGCTATTCCTTCAGCTGTGGCTACGAATTAGCTGGCATGTGATGCGGGGTTAGGTAGGCAAACACACAGAGTGATATTATTATCCACACAGACGCCCAAGCTGTCTTCACGTGACGGTTACAGACTTGGCAACGCCTTCACAATACTGCATAAACCCATGCAGAAGAATAGAGTCGTTCTTGTACTGCAATTACTCCAACATGTCCTCTCAAGAACTTCGTCATTCTAGTACCAATGCATCAGAACCAATTCTCTCTCACTGTCCTCTCGAAACAATATCCATGTCCTCTCGAAACAATGTTGTTATCTTCTGACTCATTATCAGTTGTTCTGCCTTTCTCAGCTGCGTTGGATTAGCAGCGAATGTTTTCCTCCAACACAAATCTCCCGAACATTCTTTAAACATATGGTACACACATACACCATCCAACCCTCAAGACGTAAAGTCTGATTACGAAGAGGGGAGGTGATCAAACTCCTAACAGCATGCCACGGGCGCGGAGAAACTCCGACGGGTTTAGCCCTTTTGTAAAAATATCCACTTTCTGAAGCGACGTCGATATTTGCTTCACGTCTACGACTCCATCAGCTACCAGCGAAGCTTCTTCCTGAGTCTGATTTATGGTGTCCAGCAGGTGGCGGAAGTACTTGATGATGCTGGACCCCTTCGACAAAGCCACGAACTCTGCTTCAACGGAAGAGGTCACCACCACCGTTTGCTTGGATGATGTCCATTCCACCGGTTCACCAGCGAAGTACAGGACGACTCCCGTGGTGGAGTAGCCCTTGTCTAGGTCGCCCGCAAAATCTGAGTCGACAAACGCCGTAATGACGTTTCCATCTTCGGCATCCTCGCCGTAGCGTACACCGATTGATATCGCCCCTTTCAGGTACCTGAGTACGCGTTTGAGTTTCTGCATCGCCCTCGGACCTGGTTTCGCCATACTCCGCGTCAGAACCATCACGGAGTGAGTAATGTCGGGCCTTGTGCACCTGCTGAGATATAAAAGCGAGCCTGTGGCGGAGCGGAAATATGTGGTATCCTCCGCTGACAACACCTCGTCCTCCAAGACGGACACCGGTCCAGCCTCAGACGGAGATGTCGGCGGACGCGCGTCGGCCATGCCGAACTTGTCCAACACTGCATTGGTATACGCTTCCTGTTCCAAAAGAATTGTCCCTGCGGCTCTGTCTCGGTTGATTCCCATACCGAGCAGGAACCTGGCTCCTCCCAGGTCCACCGTTTCGAAACGCTCATTCAGCTGATCTACTATGCTCAGCACTTTGTTCTCGCCCTTCCCGGTCAGCAGAATGTCATTCAAATCAACGAGAAGGAGCACATCTCCGTCGTCCAGGATGTACAAGCACGGTTCAGCGGTGCTCTCAACAAATCCGATCTTCAGGAGAAAATCGTGCAAAGTGCCCCACCAGCCTTTTGGGGGAAAACGCAACCCGTGAATACACGCTCTGAGCTTCCAGACTTGCCTGGCTCTCTCGCTGTCGCACGAGAATCCTTCCGGGGGAATGACGTACACTGGTTTCGATCCCGGTTCCATCCTCGCGTGGAGGAACGCCGTCCTGATGTCGGCTTGGCGAAGAATAAGTCCATTCTTGGCAGCATGCGCAACTATCAGATGGACGGCTTGGAGAGACGCTACCGGTGCATCACTGTCGGTTTCGGTGTCAGCTTCGTGAAATCCTTGCGCTACGATTCTCGATTTATATCGCACAGCGATGCCGGCCTCGTTGTACTTTCATTTGAGATGTATTTTGACGGGATGATTTGAGCATCGCGCGGGGGATCGACCCACTCATATGTTGGTATGTCCGTNGATGATTTGAGCATCGCACGGGGGATCGACCCACTCATAAACGTCGTGGTCTAGTAAGGAGCGATTCTCCTCCTCCATACTTTTCATCCATCCAACGGCATCTGGTCCGTTGACCGCTGCGCGGTAGTTCGGTGGATCGGCGGGCATGTATCCTAGTTGGCCAGGTATCCCTTGACCAAGGTTCCCGATCTCACCTCCGATCACCAGTGCTTATTCTGTTTCGAACACCTGCTCCGTCGTTAATGCTTCAGACAGTCCCGCGGCTTTGTCGTGCGACCGCTTTTGCGCACCGCGGGCGGTTCTTCGTCCGGTCCGTCGTTCGTGTCTGCCGGTTCTGGTTCCTCGTCTCTTGTCTCGGCCCCAGTGATAATGCCGGGCTGGAAAATCTGGCCT